GAGGCTGAGTTCAGCTGTCGTTTGAGTCTTGCCATGTTGTCCCAAACAACATTGTGTAATTTTCTTTGTATAGCCCTCGGTGTGCCAGGTCACAGTCAGGGAGGTGCCACCGGGAGGTCAGGGGGAGTAGGTGTTTGAGACTCATAACTGGCCCCAGAAATCCAGCTCGGCCACTTGCTGCTGGGACTATCCTGAGCTCAGTGGAGATAACAATATAGGTATTCACGAATCTGGGGAATCAGATCATGTGCCTGATGCTGCTTGTGCATGGGGGTGGAGCTGGGCAGGAGGCCCTGTCTTGGCCAAGATCTCTACCCAGAGGATGAAGAAGCAACAGGTGCCAGTAGCGTGGTCTGCTAGAAGCCCACCCTGCAGGCAGAGCCCAGCAGTTCTGGCTTTCCCTCTAGCAGCTGCCAGCAGCATACCGATCCACGCCCCAGACTGTATGCGCACCTCCCCCTCGTGACATTCTAGCAGGAAGGATGGGGGCTGGTGCCCAAAGGAGCTGCTGCTCCTTGTCACACAGCAACAGATGCTGAGCTCCAAGGACAAGCCACCGCGGAACTGCAGCAGCAGAAGAATGAGTCAGAGCCAGCAAGTCGAATGGTCTCCCCTCCAGCACACGCCAAGCCCCATAGGAGAACCCCGTTTGAACCCCCTGCCTCCTGGGCCAACCCTGGGGGACAAGGGCTAGGTCCAGCTACTCCACAGAATTCACCCTGAGGGCCACAGAGGGTGGAGAAGGCTGCATTGCTTCTGATCCAGCAGGTCCCAGGCTGACTCCCACTGCTGCACCTGTGTACAGCCTGCAGAGGACACGGACTGGACCGACCCTGGGTACCCTTGGCTTGCATTTTTTGCACAAGTTTCCATAAGAGATGCCTCTGGGCTGGAACAGCCGCGGAGAGGAAGGAGCCCTGGGCTGTCTGCTGAGAATGCTTGAGCAGAGTGAGGACATTGAAGACACCGGAGAACGGGTGATCCCAAGACCAGCACAGCAGTGCCAGGGCCGGGGGAGGAGCGTTTTGTAGTTCCCAAGGTTCCTTCTCTGCCTTCTCTCCATCCTCCACCCCTCTGTGCTCTCACTGCATCCTTCAACACTCTTTGCTGTGTGTAGCTCCTCTCTCAGGTCTCCTACAGAGCCACTCCAGCCCCCTGAAGCCCCTGTCTTTCCAAGTCTTCTGGAGGTTGACCCTGGTGAGCTCGCATGGTGAGTACTTTACACCGGACGGGTTGGAAAATGGTACCTTAAATGTCCTCACAAGATGGACTAGCTCACGGAAATACCAAGGCATCAAAATGCTCAAGTCAGCAGTTCTAAATGACATACCCCGCCAGTATGGCCACTGATAAAAAGTCAGGATTTAGAATCCTTATAAAATGCCCAAATGTTGGGCACCCCACTCCCACTGAAGCACATGGTATTGATTGCGTTCTCTCTGGCAGCTCAGACAGCCTGCAAGGAACACTGAGGTGTGCCCTTTTTCCTCCCAATTAAAAAAAAAAAAGCACCAAACAAACAAAAAAAAGGATGTATTTACTTGAAAGGCAGACTGACAGAAACAGAGAAATCTTCCATCTGCTGGATCACTCCCCGGAATGGCCTCAATAGCTGGGGTGCCCCAAAGCGGGGAGCCAGACACTTCTTCTGGGTCCCCGACGTGGGTGCAGGGGACCAAGGCCTTGAGCCATTCACCACTGCAATAGCCAGGGCGCAGTGCAGTGGCCTAGCAGCTAAAGTCCTCGCCTTAAACCTGCAGGGATCCCATATGGGCGCCGATTCTAATCCTGGCAGCTCCACTTCCCATCCAGTTTCCTGCTTGTGGCCTGGAAAAACAGTCGAGGACGGCCCAAAGCCTTGGGACTCTGCACCTGCGTGGGAGACCTGGAAGAGGTTCCTGGCTCTTGGCCTCAGATCAGAGCAGTACCAGCTGTTGCGGTCACTTGGGGAGTGAATAAATGGACAGAAGATCTTCCTCTCTGTCTCTTTTCCTCTTTGTATATCTGACTTTGCAACTGAAAATAAATAAATAAATAAACCTTTTAAAAATCTATATTTATTTTAAAGGTCACAATTACTGAGAGAGACAGAGCTGGCTCACTGCACAGAGAGCCGCAGTGGCTGGCACGGGGCTAGGCCAAAGGCAGGAGCCAGGACAGTCATCTGGATCTCTCCAAGAGCATCAGGATTCAAACACTTGGGCATCTCGTAGCTCTTCCCAGGCCGTTGGCAGAAAGCTGGCTTGGAAACAGAGCACCCCAGGACATGAACCAGTACCTATGGGCTGCCAGCACCACAGGCAGCAGCCTTACTTGCTATGCCACAGCCCTGGCCCCAAGGGATGTGCCATCTAATCATCACAGGGGTTGCCATTGTAGCTCCCAAGCATTTGCAGCTACTCTGCTGCTTGGCACCCCTGAGTCCTGGATCAGGTCATTGGATTTTAATCCTGCATCTACTCCTCTCTCTCTCTCTCTCTCTGAAAAGGAAAGACAGATACAGAGCTGCTCTCCCACCAACAGGTTCACTATCCCAGTAACCACCAGAGCCCAGAGCTGGGACAGGATAAAGCCAGGAATTCAGTTCAGATCTCCTGACTGGCAGGGACCCAAGTCCTTGAACCATCAGCCGCTGTTCCCAAGGTGCACATTAGCAGGCAGCTGGAATCAGGACTGGGACCAGGACTCAAACCAGGCCCTTCGTACGAGATGTGTGTGTCCCAAGGGGTGGCGTGCCAAGTGCCAGCCACAAATGTTGCTTCCTCGAGGGTGTTCTCAGCCACATCACACACTGTTAGGTTTAAAATCAGTACTCTGCGAATGTTTCTGCATGAGCTACCTCACCCTGGGTTACTCTTTTATTTATTCACTTACTAGAATGTATTAAACCCATCTTAGTGCCAGTCTCTGTGAGTGATTCAAGGGCGGTGAACAAGACAGACACGTTATCTTGAAGGACTCAAAGTGTAGTGACGAAAAGGCTCCCACACTTTGTGGAAACAAATTAGTAAACTGACACTGAGCAATCGGAAGAAGTACAAGGAAAGCAGAGTATGTGCTGACACGGGGAATCTACTGAGTCTGACGCACTGGGTGCCACAGATTGGTGCCATTTGGTGACAGTATTTCACCCTCAACTTGGAGAAGGCCTGCTGCAGACAGGGCAGGAGAGCCCCATTCCGTACCATCAAACCCGAGTGAATGCATCCACAATGGAAGGGGCTTTGGAGAAAAGCGCAGGGAGGAAGTTCAGATTCGAATCCTGAACCCAGGACTTGAGACACCAGCCAGGGCTGGGTCTGACGGCCACTCCAGCTTCTGACTCAAGCCTCCTGGGAGCAGAGGTGATGGCTCCTGCCACTCATGTGGGAGACCTGGATTGAGCGCCTGGCCCCCAGTGTTGGACACAGCTCAATCCAAGCCAACATAGGCATTTGGGAAATGAGGCAGAGGATGGGAAAACAATCTTAAAAGCCCAATGTTCTGGATCTGATGCAGTAGCCTAGTGGCTAAAGCCCTTGCCTTACATGTGCCAGGATCCCATATGGATGCTGGTTCTAATACAGGCAGCTCCATTTCCCATCCAGCTCCCTGATTGTGGCCTGGCAAAGTGTCAAAGACGGCCCAAGGCCTTGGGACCCTGCACCCGAGTGGGAAATCCAGAGGAGGTTCCTGGCTCCTGGCTTTGGATATGTTTATTTCTGGGCATGTGGCCGCCTGGGGAGTGAACCAGCAGACAGAAGATCTTTCCTCTCTGTCTCTCCTCCTCTCTGTAAATCTGACTTTCCAATAAGAAAAATAAAATCTTTTTTTTTTAAAGTAATATCCATTAAAGAAAAAGAAAAGATCAGCCAAAGTCTGAATGTCTGAGCTTAGAGTGGGGGTGACAGTCCTTAGCCCAGCCTGAAGATTGCATCTTTTTTAAAAGGATTTATTTATTTTTATTGGAAAGGCAGATTTACATAGAGAAGAGACAGAGAGAAAAATGTTGATCTTCCATCCACTGATTCACTCCCAAAATGGCCACAATGACTGGAGCTGAGCTGATCCGAAGCCAGGTTCCCAAGCCAGGAGCTTTTTCTGGGTCTCTCACGTGGGTGCAGGGTCCCAAGGCTTTGGACCATCCTCTGCTGCTTTCCTAGGCCACAGACAGGGAGCAGGATGACAAATGGAGCAGCTAGGACGTGAACTGGCAATCATATGGGATCTTGGTGCTTGCAAAGTGAGAATTTAGCCAATTGAGCCATTGCACTGTGCTAGAAGATTGTATTATGTAGTGTATGTGAACCTGTTGAATGTAAAACACACACCGTTGTTAGCCGGGGTAGATGCTCAAAGTACCGTTACCTTGGTTTTGCCATAGGTTGTGTGCTGAAATAGCAATGTGTCCTCTGGGCTCCTCAGAGGGTGAAGGCACGCCCTTCTGCGCGGACACTGCTGCACTGAGCATCCCTTTTGGGGACCAGGACACATCTGGGCAGGTGCTCCCAGGGCTCAGCCTTTCCTGTCCTCTAAGTAGTGGGAGAGAAATTGGAGCTTCACAAAGGGGTCCCCCAGAGATGGCCTCACGGTCATTGCTAGAACTGGCCCCTGAGGCCCAAAGGGTGACCTGTCGGTTGTGGGATGGTACCTGTTAAGAGTCTTAAGCCTCAAGTGGGCTTTGCTTACATTTTCTGCAGACCCCAAGGCAGCCTGAGAGAGGCAGGAAGCAGGAAGAGGGGCCGGTACTGGGACCACCTGGGGGTGCAGCAAGCTGGGCGGAACTTTTGGGAGCAGAAAGGACTGAGAAACAGCGCAATAGACGAGTGGTGAGGCAGGGGAGCGAGGTGTGGGCTCAGGGCCGATGGGACCAGAAGTGAGGGCGAGCTGGAGGAAGAGGCCACTCGGGAAGGACAGCCCCATTGGAGCCGCGGATGGATGGAGAGGGCGGGCGGCGCCGGCCAGGGCGCGGAGGCGGGGCGGCGTGGCGGGCGGCGCTGTCAGTGCGAGGCGCGAGCGGAATGCAGCGGCCCGAGGCCTGGCCACGTCCGCACCCGGGCGAGGGGGCCACGGCGGCCCAGGCTGAGGTCGTGGCGCCGCCCGCCGGAGCCGGGGAGCCCACGGGGCAGCGGGTAGGGAGCGCGCGGGTGCGGGATCCCGGGTGGCGGGAGCTGGGCGGGGAGCGGCCGCCAACTCAGCAACTGGGGCGCGGGCGCTGAGAACTTTGTGTCACTGCCCGGCAGCCCTGGGAAGGGGGCCAGGGCCCTGAGCAGGGTCGAGAAAGTTCATCCACTGGCACAGGCTGACCAGGAGACCTGTCCTGGGTCAGCTGGTGTGGAGCTAAAGTTCTAGGTCAACTCTTAGCAGTGATGGGGTGGGGATGATGCCGGGGGGAGGGGAGGGAGGAGAGATTCTGCTGGGAATGGGGAAGGAGTGGCCGGAGGGTCCGGACCTGCGCCCATCCCCGGGGCTGCCCCTGGAGCCAGGGTTCACCGGAAGCAGCAGGCCTGGCGCTGCTGTCCCCCGGCCCAGGTTCTGTGGTACACTCCGACTTGGGCTCTGGAGCAGTCAGTGCATGACAGAACTTGGGCCCGGAAGGACCTTCTGCACCCAGTGGGCACGGCGCCCACCCGGGGCCTGCCTGGAACATCCGCTGCCATCGCAGAGTGGAGTGGAGTGGCTCCTGCGGCACCGGGTTGCACTGGACCAACCGTGGACCTTTGCTGGCTGGAGCCCAAGGAGGTCCTGTTAGGGCCTGCAGAGTCCGTTGAACCCAGACAGGGCATCCATGTGGGGTCAGGGGCCAAATGGTGCTCTCCCCACCCCCTTGTGTCAGTTACAGGAACCTTCCCTCTACACCATCAAGGCTGTTTTCATCCTAGACAATGATGGGCACCGGCTGCTGGCCAAGGTAACCCCCTACCCTACCCTAAGGGACCCAGAGCATAAACTACTGGGCTCAGTGGAGACCTCCCCCTGGGCATGGGAAATGCAGCTAGGGCTCACAGGAGGCATGGATCTGTTGATTTCTCTTCAGTCTTGCACTGGCCAGCTGGACCCTGGGTACAGGAAATTGCCATGGGAGGGGGTGAATGGAGCTTGGAACCCAGGAGGCCACAGGTTTTACTGAGCAGCGTTGTGAATACAAAGGAGTTACTCCCGGAGCTGCAAGGATTTAGAATCTGATGTGATGCTAGAAAGTGCCTGAAACAAGTCTAACTTCCCAGGTGGTAAGCATGAGGGCTTGGATGCCCTGTTAGCTGCACCGGGTTCTAGTGTTCAAACCTAACAATGTCCAGAGTCAGGATCTGTCACCTGAAGCCCAGGATGGCCTCCACAGAATGCCAATTTCCTGATCTGGTCAAGCCAGGCTAGGCTCATCCAAGAACAGATTCCTACCATTGCCATGCTCCTCCAGGAGAGCCGAACCTCTAAATTAGTGATGCCTGACGTTCCAGTGTGTGTTTGGTGTGGTGTGGCTGGCCAGGAAGCTACGAATTTGCCTGCAGAGGGAGCATTAGGTGGCAGAATCCATGCTGCAAACTGACAGCTGAGCTGGCCACACATTGCCCTAGCAGGTGCTTGGAGGTGGATCAGCCATGCCCAAGGCTCCACAGCCTCCTCCCAGCAGGACCCATCTGTTTCACAGGTTGAGGCTTATCAAACACAAACCTGAAACAAGGCACGGGTTTAGTTCTGCAATTCATGCCGAGAACTTTCCTTCCCACATATGACAGTCAGTGCAGCCCCATCTGTGGTCACCCTGTCCTCAGAGCCCCAGCTCTGGTTCTGCTTCTTCCCAGAACAGTGTGGGAATTACCCAAATCCTGGGGCTGTGATGATGGTTGTTTTTGAGTAGGGACACCTGGCTGTGCCATCATTCCCAGACACAGGCTGGGATCACGCACACTGACTTCCAGTCATTGCCCCCGCCATCCACCCCACACATCAGTAGAACACTTAGAGTTTGTGTGGGAGAAAGGAGTGAGGACAGTAAAGGGGAGACTGGATGGCAATAAGGCCCCACTTGGTTAGCACTCACTCCTCCCTGCCTCTCATCTAGGGAGGAGCCCGGCCCTGTGACCTGGCTTCAGCCCTCTCTTCCCCTTTCTCATAGTATTATGATGATACGTTCCCCTCCATGAAGGAGCAGGTGGTTTTCGAGAAAAATGTTTTCAACAAGACCAGCCGTACTGACAGTAAGTGTCCGTCTCCTCCTGTCATGATAATCTGAGGGTTGCTCTTCTCTCGCCTTCGCCTTCTCCAGCCAGACCTAGCTGTCCCTGGTGGTCTTCCGCACCCCTAGCCATCCTCTTACTTCTGAGGCTCCTTTTCTTGCCAGCTGTCCTGGTACCCCAGCCCAGCCCACATGTAGCACATCCTTGATCCCACCAACTGAACATGGCTCCCCAGGCTAGTCCCAGGGCAGGCAGGAGCCTGACCTGGCACTGCCTTTGTTGGTGCCCCAGAGTGAAGCAGTCTAAAAACACATAGCAGGTGGGGGGAGGACCCAGGATCATGGGAGGGTGGTGGTCCCATGGTGGGCTGGGAAGAGGAGACTGGAGGGAGGAGCTGCCCAGGACTGAGTGCCCAGAACTGGGTTCTTCCTAGGTGAAATTGCATTTCTTGGGGGCATGACCATCGTCTATAAGAGCAGCATTGACCTCTTCCTGTACGTGGTGGGCTCATCTCATGAGAACGAGGTGAATTCAGGGGCTTGGGGCCACCCGAGGGTCTGTCTTGGGGTCTGGGGTGGAGCCTGGGTCCTGGAGGCTCATCATGGACCTTCCGGGCTGCACGGGATGAAGGGCAGCATCCAGAGGGGCTCCTGCTGGCATAGTGCATTTCCATGCTGCCCCGAGAGTCCTCCGGGAGCCAAAAGTGACCTTGTCACCCCCTGTGCGGAGAGCCTGATTGGTTCTTAAAGCTAGGGAAATGGACGGTGTCCCCAGTGGGAGCACTCCAGTCTCCCATCCTCTAGGGCCCAGTTGCTGTGTCTCCAGCCCCCTCCTCATCCCACAGGCGGGTGCTGAAGCTCCTTTGGCCCTCGCCACCTGAGCTCTCATTTCCCCTCCCACACCTGCCCATCGCAGCTGATGCTCATGGCCGTTCTAACCTGCCTCTTTGAGTCGCTGAGTCACATCTTAAGGTGAGTGAGGTGTTCTGGTCTAAAGGCCCATGGTCCCCGACAGTGGAGCTCGTCCTCCATGGGGGACTGGGACTGGAACCACTCCCCACAACCTGCTGGGCCCTGCCCTGTCCCTCGTCACCACAGTGCCGCCCAGAGTACAGTCAGGGTGTGGCCAGCAGCAAAGCCCGTCACCTGAGGTCACACATGTTAGTGTCGTCAGAGATGGAGCTCCCATATTCCAATTGAGCTTTCTACCTTGACTCACTGCACTGCCCTTTAATTATCTGGCATCTGTCCCAGGGCTTGGGGCCAACCAATCTAGAGTCATCCCAAAACAAACGTCCACACTGGACACAATTGCACATGGTAAGAAATAGCATCTAAACTAGCTATGGGCTGCAGTGCGGAAGCACCGTTCCCAAGGCAGGGGAGACTGGGCAAGGTGGGGCTAAAGGCAGCCCTTTGGCCCTGGGCCCAGGCTCCACCTCCATCTTCCTGGGCCTTGGGGATGGTGGTGAAGGAGGCGGACTTTGCCGAGACGGGGCTTGTCGGGGTCACTCGGGAGCTTGTCTGCCTGCAGGAGAAACGTGGAAAAGCGCTGGTTGCTGGAGAACATGGATGGAGCCTTCTTGGTGCTGGACGAGATTGTAGATGGCGGGTGAGGAGGGTTGGCAAGAAGGGGGTGGGGGGGACCATCCTAGTTGAGGGGCTCCAGAGGGCCATCGGCTCTGACTTGCTTCTAGAATGTTGCCAGGCTCTCAGGCCAACTTCACCACTGCTCCACCACAGTCCCCGTCCTCATGACCCCTGAGTCTTGCTGCCACTCCACTTGGATGGTAAAGGGGATGTCAGCACAGGCAGTCGGTGGGGAATGCAGGCTGATCTCCAGGCCTGGGAGCAGCAATGGCAGGGGCACTTGCCCACACCTGGAAGGACAGCAGATCCGGATGCCACCCGGACATGTGACTTAGGCCGCAGACTGGCTCTTCCTGAACCTTTCTTTTCTTGTGTTAAAAATGGTGGTGACAAGGGAACGACTTACTGAATTGGCACCAAAGGCGCAGGGACCACCCCTGTGTTCCTGCAGAGAAAGCCAAGTGGACTCTGCAGGGCTCTGGGTTTCTGAACCCCTGCCTAGAATGGATGCCTTGCACCGCATTCATGGGCTTTGCCCACTGATGACCAAGTTATGTGTGGCTCCCCAAAAGAACTGGAGCTGGGGTCCTTCATGGTGAGGGTAGCATCTGACCCAAGGGTGACGCCCTGCGAAAGCCCCTGCAGGGGAGGTCCCAGAATGCACTGGAGACAGGGGTGAGGCGTGGCTGGGAGAGCAGGCAGGAGGAGCCCCATGCTGAGTGTCTTCTTGCGTTCCCCCTCTACAGCGTGATTCTGGAGAGCGAGCCCCAGCAAGTGATCCAGAAAGTGAACTTCAGGGTAAGAGTCCTCCCTGCTGCTCTTATTGGCCCCTGCCTGGGCCCCTAAAGTGGGCAGGGCAGGCAGGGCTGAGGTGGTGGGGGGTGAGTGCCTCTGGCCGAAGCCAACCAGGGGCTGGGGAAGAGGGCAGCTCGTCCATGAGTCCCTCCTTCTTCCCCCAACCCATGCACCTCCCCATGCCCCCTGGTGCTACAGACCCAGGAAATGAACAGGTTCTCAAGGGGAATGCCAGGTGCCTGCCTTGACCTTGGGGTCCTTGCGTTTGGGGTCCAAATAGGAACAGAATCTCTGCTTGATTTGGGTCTCTCATACCTGAAGAAGGCCCGTTCCTGCCATCTTTCTTCCCCTTCACTCTCTCACCCCACCCCCGCCCCAGGCAGGGGTCCTGGCTTCCCTGTGGCCAACAGCCAGACACCCACTGCTGAGTGCCACAGGCACATTTCAACAGTGCCTCCTCCCCAGCCCCCCCATCCTCCCCCTCTGTGCCCCTTCCCTGAGCCAACCCTTTGTTTCCTCACAGATGGACGACAGCGCCTTGACAGAGCAGAGTGTGGCGCAGGTAGGTGCCCTGGGTCTGCCCTAGCCAGACCTGGACCCCAAAGACAAGCAGAGCGGAAGCTGGCAAGGCTGAGAATTTGGGGCATGGAAGGGAAGGGCTGGGGCAGTGATGGGCCCTCTGGGAGGGTATGTAGGAGGAGGGGCAGGCAGCAGGCACTCAGAGACAGAGGGGCATGGCAGCAGCAGCCCACCTGACCTCCTGGGCTGGTTTAGTTGGTCTGAATGCTGCATGGGATGCCCATTCTGGTGACAGCCAGGCCGTTTGTCATGCAAAGCCATTTGGGGGTCCAGCTCCTGTAATGCTCCCCTTTCCTGGATAAGACACCACATAAAGCTTCCCTCAGGTCCCTATCCCCCTTAACCCTACAATGGGGGATAAGTTTCCCCACTTACCACCTCACTCCGTGCCACCTGGCTGTGGAAAAACTCATGCCCACCCCAACTCTGCATAGTCCCATTTGGGAGTGGGCACATGCCAGGTTTGAGTTGGCGGGGAGGCATTCTCTGTTCTGTGGCCTGATTGGGCCACCAGCTGCACACGCTTCCTGTAACCCAGGCTGCCTGTCTTGCCCTCTGTTCTGTCTGCCCTCAGGTCTCTCTACGTAGGCTAATCCTGATTTTGTGGAGCTTCCTACCCTGGCACTAACTATCTCTTGCCCTAGTAGCCCTGCCAAGATTGGTCTGTGCCTTCCTTAGTGGCCAGGGAGCTGCAGGCACGGTGCCCCCTTGCCTGTGTTGTCTTTGGCTCTTGATCTGCCTCATCAGTTGCTCCTCACATCCTGCGTGCATCCACACAGCACTTCCCGGGGTGTGCAGAAAGAGGGACGAGCCATGAGCAGAGCAGGAAAGCCCAGGGTGCTCATGCAAGTTACCCACAGGTGTGTCCCACCTGACCCTCGCAGGCCAGCCCCCAGGAGAGAGTTACTCGGGCCCTCTGGGCTTCACGTAACAGCAGCCGCCACCATGAAGATATACCCGAAGGAAGCCATTTAGTATACCTTCACTTCCTCATCCACTCCCACCCTCACACACCACGGAAGTTCACAGGGGTCCTGGCCTCCCCGGGACCAATGGCAGGACCCCCACTGTTGCATGTCACAGGGCCCCAGTTTGGTGGCATCTCATCCCCAGGCCCTTTACTGCCCCCCACCTAAGATTTATTTATTCAAAAGATCGTAACTCTACAGAAGGAGAGAGAGGGAGAAAGAGAGAGAGAGAGAGGTTTCCAATTAGCTGGTTCACTCCCTGAGTGACCACAATGGCCAGAGCTGGGCCAGACTGAAACCAGGAGCCAGGAACTTCTTCCTGGCCTCCCAGGTGAGTGCACAGGAGCCAAAGGAATTGGGCCATCCTCTACTGCTTTTCCCAGGCACATTAGCAGGGAGCTGGACTGAAAGTGGTGCAGCTGGGACTCGAACCAACACTAGCATGCTGGCACTGCAGGAGGAAGCTCACTATGCACTAGGGACCCAGGAGCCTCCCTCCTTACAGCGTTATTAGGAGACAAGCCAGTGCATGCCAAGCTCTCAGCGCAGCTCCCGACAACACAGCATGCTAGTCCAAAGCGATGGCTGTCTTTCCTAAAAGGGAAAGCGTGAAGACATTGCATTTTCAGTGGAGCTCTTGAGCAAACAAGAGAATTACAGATAGCAAAGGGCTGATAAAATGAGGACAAAGTTATTCCAGCTTGGAGATGTGGAAGCGTCCCAGGCCCAACTGTCCCTGAAACAGTGGGGATTGAACAAGAGGAGGGGACATGTCCAGTGTGGCAGGGGCCTTCTGCATAAGGAAAGTGGCATCTTGGCTAGAGGGATGAGCTGCGGCGTGCATGCCCCGAGTTGCCCACTGGCTGGCACTGTATGTGCACAGTGGGAGGGGATGTATCAACCTTGCAGAGCCACATCAGCAGGGGGTCCGGTGTCTGCGCACAGGAGGTGTCCTGTGTGCCCTGGGGGACACTGGGCAGGAACTGGCATGTGGGAGACACAGGCCACCGCCCCATCCGCAGCTGCAGAGGCAGGAAGCCGGCGCAGGGCCCGCCTCTGGCCGGCCCTTGCTCGTGCGCTTCAAGGCTGCGGAAAGCTGCTGCCACCTAGTGCACGGGGGCTGCAGGGCCGTGGGGGCGGGGAGCCCCCAGCGTCCCCCCACTGTGCTGAGGTCCTGGCCTGCCCTTCCACCGAAATGCTTTCTACCCACGCAGGTTCTTCAGTCTGCCAAGGAACAAATTAAGTGGTCGTTATTGAAATGAAGGCTGTGGACGGAAGGCCTGCTGCTCTTGGGACCAGAGACTCCCTACAACCCGCCCTTCCCCAGCCCCCCAGCCCTGATTCGTGTCTCCTCTGGACTTCGGTTCCCAGTGGCGGCTGCCCGTGGGCCCTGGGAGCCGCCACAGTTGCCTCAACTCTTAATTTCAGGCATCTTTGACCCCCAGGCCCCAATAAACAAGCTTTGTCTCTTGCCCAGGGTCCTCTTTTCTCTTGGCCTAGGAAGTGTGTGTGTGTGTGTGTGTGTGTGTGTGTTGTAAAGCCTGGAGCTTGCCCTGGTGGGTGGGTGTGTGTGTGTGTGTGTGTGTGTGTGTGTTGTAAAGCCTGGAGCTTGCCCTGGTGTGTGTGTGTGTGTGTGTGTGTGTGTGTGTGTGTGTGTGTGTGTGTGTGTGTTGTAAAGCCTGGAGCTTGCCCTGGTGTGTGTGTGTGTGTGTGTGTGTGTGTGTGTGTGTTGTAAAGCCTGGAGCTTGCCCTGGGGACACCCATGTGGGATCCCCATGACTTCCTGTGGGAAGAGGAGTGGGGGAAGGGATCTGACACGACCAGAGGTCACTCGGAGACCCCTCGGGGCGAGTAGAGGGGGAGAGGGACAGAAGACACGTGGACACCCGCATTTTGTCTGCCGCACACACGGTGGATCCACTGCGGGCTCTCTGAGTAATTTTTTTCCATTTCTAGTCTCCACAAAGGGAAGGAGCACGGCTTCCCCTGGACAGACCGAGGAACCGCCTGGCTGCTGTCCTGGGTATGCCCCGGGCACTGGAGCCCCGGGAGCGCCCGGCTCGGCCGGCCTCTGGAGGCGAGCAAGCGGCGGCCAGCACCCGAGCCGGGCGCTCCGGAGCAGCTGACGAGCTGCCAGGTCCCCCAGGCCGGGGGCCTAGAGAGAAACCACTCGGACCGAGCTGGATGCCGCGACTTCTCCTCTCTGTCCCGGTCCCAGACCCTCCGATTTCTGCCGGAGACAAGGTCGGGATTCAGCGCGCCTCTCTGACGCCGCGTCGCGCGGACACCGAACTTTCCCTCGACCCCACCGCGGCCTGACGTAAAAGCCCTTCCCTCGGACACGCCCCTCCGGGGCGGGGAGAATCGTCGGACACGCCCCTCTGGGAGCGGGGAGAGGCCTCGGGCGCCGCGGGAAGCCCCGCCCCAGAATGGCATTTGCGATCCTGCAGCGCCACCTGGAGGACAATCACTGTGATATCACGTCCGCGGGGTCCGCTCGCGGGACTAACTCCGCCCCTTGGGGGCGGGACCGACCCCGGCTCCCCTGCGTTTCCGTCTGAGCGTCTCCAACCCCCTCCCCGCCACCGCGGGGCGTTGCCCTGACAACCAGCACAGGCGTCCTGCCCCTCCGCCCCAGGTCCCCGCCGGCATGGGCAGCGCGAAAGCGGCGAGGCCTGCACACGGACAGGGAGGCCGGCCTTGCGCTTAGCAGCACCTCACGCTCTCTGTAAACCTCTTCAAGGCTGGGTTATTTGTTCACGGGCTTGGCCCTTGTGTCAGAGAAAAATGGCCGGGACGGAGTGACGCAGACTTAGATATTGTAAGCGCTGCGTCCAGAACGCGCAACAGTGAATAATGCAAAAGGCAAAGAGCAGGCAATTAAGGTCTGCGGGCTCCAGGGCCAGCGTGGCGAAGGGAGAGTAAGAACTCTCCAGAAATGCGCGGGCAGAGGCGCGGCCACACCCAGCGCCTGGCTCCCGCCGTCCCGCCCCAGGCGGCCGCGCGGCCGGCAGAGGCAGTTCGCTTCCCGGCAACTCGGTCGCGCCCACAGGGCCCTAAGGGTCTGAATGGTGCCGGGAATGCAAAGACGGACAGGCGGCAGGCGGCACTCGGCGCGCGCCGGCTCCCTCTCTCGTCACTGCTGGCCGGGGAGGGCACTGAGGTTCGAGAAGGTTCGAGTGTTTTCCTCAGAACCAGCTCCCTGCAGGAGGACTGCTGGGCACAGGGGGCTTCCCACGCTTGCTTGCCTACAAGGGCCCACGGCGCCCCTCGTCCACCCCGGCTGAGGAGGAGGAGGGCTCTGCGGTGTGGGCTTTGGCTCAGGCCCTCTCGCCTGGCGAGCCGCCCGCCGCACCGCGACCCCGGGCCACCTCCCGGCGCCCGCAGCCCCGCCAGGCTCCCGCCGGGCCCTCGGACCTGGCCGGCCGCCCAGAACCCTGCCCGCTGGCACCGGCTCCCTCAGACGGCCTCATTAGCGCTGCCCCAGGCCGGAGCGGAGCGCGGGGGGCGGCTTTCGGGAAGGGCCTTCCCGTCTCCACCCCACGGGTCCCTCGGGGCTCCGCGGCCCCTCAGTGCTCGGGTGACTGACCCAGCGGACAAGGGGAGGGGCCCGAGGGCGAGGCCGCCGGACTCCCCTCCTCCCGCTGGGGCCCTGGGGGCGAGGCCGACCCCAAACACTGCCCGACGCGCCCGGGGACCCCGAAACAGCGCCGGCGCCCCTCGGGCCGCGCCTCCAAGTCCACAGCCGGTAGCCCCACCCCCTCCGGCTGCGCGCGTCCGTGTACCTTCCGGCCATTGGCTGACAGCGTGACAGGGCTTGTCGGATTGGCTGGCGCCCGGTGATGGATGGCTCCCCGCCGACTGGGCCGTGATTGGGCAGGGGTCCTCGTAGGGCACCACGGGACGGCGGGGGGCGGCGCCTGCGGGGCGCGGCGGGGAGGGGTGGGACACGGCCTGAGGCTCCAGCGTCCCGTGCCACCAGCCTCCCTTCGAAACTCTTGGGGGGTGGGAATAGGAAGTACCCGACCCTGGTGTGGATAACATGAATAACCGACCCAAAGCAAGTCGGGCGCACTCCCCTAGGCCGGCCTTTCCTTCCAACCAGGGCCTCATTCCGTCCACCGTATTTGTTTGTTGATTGACTTATTCAGATGTTGGAATGTTTGCCATAAGCTAAGCACTGGGGAAAGAGCCTGATGAGTGAGGGGAGTGGGAGTGTTGAGAGGAGGGAAGGCATGTGAGAGATATGGCAAAGTAGTTAGTGTTACGCGTCGGATGATGCTGCGTGTCTTGGTCGGAGCAGCGATAAAATTCACATGCATTTATACTGTGTGCTGTTTCCTGTAAGGAAGCCAGACCTTGAATTAAAAAAAGAAACAATTGAATCCCATGCAGACAAGATTTTTCCAGTATCGATTGTTCTAGCATCCTTTGAGTGGCCCTCCTCTATTCTCTAATCTCTTCTTCAGTGTAGATGGGAATATACCCTACATGAAGATCCAAGACATGAGGGTAATTTTTTTTAAAGTTTTCTTTTTATTGGAAAGTCAGAGTTACAGAGAGAAGGAGCTACAAAGAGATAAAGATCGTCTGTCTATTGATTCACTCCCCCAAGTAGCCTCAATGGCAAGAGCTGAGCGAATCAAAAGCTAGGCACCAGAAGCTTCCTTCCAAGTCCCCCACATGGGTGCAGGGTCCCAAGGCCCTGGGCCATCCCGGACTGCTTTCCCAAACCACAGCAGGGAGCTGGAATGGAAGTAGGACCGCTGGGATTAAAACCGACGCCCATATGGGATCCCAGCATATGCAAGGCGAGGACTCTAGACACTAGGCCACGGTGCTGGGTCCAGGCATTGGTTCTAATCCCAGTGGCCCGTTTCCCGTCCAGCTCCCTGCTTGTGGTCTGGGAAAACAGTGGAGGACAGCCCAATGCTTTGGGACCCTGTACCTGTGTGGGAGACCGAGAAGTCCCTAGCTCCTGGCTTTGGATCGGCTCAACTCCAGCCATTATGGCCACTTGGGGAGTGATCCAGCGGATGGAAGATCTTACATTGTTTCTTTGTGTGTAAGTCTGCCTTTCCAATAAAAATAAGTCAATCTTTTTAATAAAGTCAGAATTACAGAAAGAAAGGGGGAAAAAAACAGAGAGGGAGATAACCATCCTATTAGTTCACTCCCCCAAATAGCCACCATGGCCAGAGTTTGGCCAGTCCAAAGCCAGGAGCCAGGAACTCCTTCCGGGTCTCCCATGTGGGTGCAGGGGCTCCCAAGGCCTTGGCCAATCTTCCAGTGCTTTCCCAGGCCATAAGCTGGGAACTAAATCAAAAATGGAGCAGCCAGAACATGAACTGGCACCCCTATGAGATGCAGGGGTTGCAGGTGGAGGCTCAGCCTGCTACATATGGCACTGCCCCCAGAGATGAAGCCCTGTACCTTGCTCTGGGTTGGCAGGAGTTTGTTACATGAATTGGGAGACAGAGTGCCTGATCCAGAAGGTTATGACTTTGGGAGCAAATTCATCTAGGCAGGTAAAGAAATCAGAGACACGCATGGAGGAGATGATGTCTTCCAGAATTTGTAAAGAAGCAAATGATGCAGGGAGTGGTGGTGGCTGGTTTTGTAGCATGGGGAGTTAGGTTTTCACTTGGGGTGCCTGCACTCACATTGGGGTACCTGGTTTGAGTCCCAAATGCTGCCCATGTGATCCAGTCCCTACTCATGCACGTGGGAAGACAGCAACGGATGCTGCAAGTGCTTGGGCCCATGTCACCCACATGGGAGACCTGGATGGGGTTCCTGGCTCCTGGCTTCAGCCTGGACCACAGCCCTGGCTATTACAGACATTTGGGAAGAGTGAACCAAAAGATAGAAGAGATCCTCTCTTCTCTCCCATTCTACCTTTTAAAAAATGTAATAAAAAAAATAAAGTACTTAGCAAGACAGTGCTTAATGAAGAGTAGCCATTAAAAACAGAAAAAGGAAAAATAAGGGGAAAGAGATACTTTAAAGGAAGCAATCTTGTAAGCAGAGGAAAGAGGCGTAGGCCCTCTGTTTAATGACCTGGAAGTGGGTCAATGAGGTCTGTGGAGAGAGCTGCTGGGGGTGGTGGGTCTTGAATCAGCTGAGACCACCTGGCCAGGCAGGGTGGGGGGAATGTGTGGAGTGGACAGTGAGTCCCACCTGAAGGCTGGCTATCATTTACAGAGTTAATGGCTTCCTAGGCCTTAGAAATACCATTGTCCTCAAAGCAACCCCACAAGCTGTTTGGTTTATTTATTTTATTTTTATTATTGTTTTAAGGTTTATTTTTATTGGCAAGTCAGATATACAGAGAAGAAGAGAGACAGAAAGGAAGATCTTCTGTCTGTTGATTCACTCCCCAAGTGGCCATAGCAC